ATAGACATAATAGAGGAAAAATAGATTGGTTAGAAAGGCGGGGTCCAAGAGCTAATAGCTCGACTGTGCAGATACAAATAGTAAATACACACACACACACACACACACACACACACACACACACACACACACACACACACACACACACACACACACACACACACACACACACACGAAATTGGACTTTTATCGTCGGGAAAATCGCTGTTAATTGAGAAAGAAAACAACCTGGAGTGACTGTAAGGGTTCACTGTGAACAGGAAGAACAGATAAATAACACGAGTGTTCATTAAAGCCAGCTGTGAACAGGGAGAATATATAAATAACACGAGTGTTCATTAAAGCCAGCTGTGAACAGGAAGAACATATAAATAACACGAGTGTTCATTAAGGCCAGCTGTGAACAGGAAGAACATATAAATAACACGAGTGTTCATTAAGGCCAGCTGTGAACAGGAAGAACATATAAATAACACGAGTGTTCATTAAGGCCAGCTGTGAACAGGAAGAACAGACAATAAGGAGGAGTTTGATATGTGTTAGAGTAAGAACAGTGTGATGTTGATACTCTTCACAGCTGTAGTAAGAGAGAGGAGGAGGAGGAGGAGGAGGAGAACAAGCACAAGAGATTAATGCCTCACAAGGCTCTAGTAAGAGAGAGGAGGAGAACAAGCACAAGAGATTAATGCCTCACAAGGCTGTAGTAAGAGAGAGGAGGAGGACAAGCACAAGAGATTAATGCCTCACAAGGCTCTAGTAAGAGAGAGGAGGAGGACAAGCACAAGAGATTAATGCCTCACAAGGCTCTAGTAAGAGAGAGGAGGAGGACAAGCACAAGAGATTAATGCCTCACAAGGCTCTAGTAAGAGAGAGGAGGAGGACAAGCACAAGAGATTAATGCCTCACAAGGCTCTAGTAAGAGAGAGGAGGAGGACAAGCACAAGAGATTAATGCCTCACAAGGCTGTAGTAAGAGAGAGGAGGAGGACAAGCACAAGAGATTAATGCCTCACAAGGCTCTAGTAAGAGAGAGGAGGAGGACAAGCACAAGAGATTAATGCCTCACAAGGCTCTAGTAAGAGAGAGGAGGAGGACAAGCACAAGAGATTAATGCCTCACAAGGCTCTAGTAAGAGAGAGGAGGAGGACAAGCACAAGAGATTAATGCCTCACAAGCGACGCCTGAGAACTGGAGCCACCAGTTCCAGCTCCCACAAGTAGGCAAAAACTAATTGGTCGCGCATAAAATATAACAAGGAGAAGTGACTGAACTGAAACAGACGTGACGCTCAAGCAAGCAGCATTATGGAGTTATATATTACTGGAGGTGAGGGCAGGAATTACTGGAGGTGAGGTAAGAAATTACTGGAGGTGAGAGCAGGAATTACTGGAGGTGAGAGCAGGAATTACTGGAGGTGAGGTAAGGAATTACTGGAAGTGAGAGCAGGAATTACTGGAGGTGAGAGCAGGAATTACTGGAGGTGAGGGCAGGAATTACTGGAGGTGAGGTAAGGAATTACTGGAGGTGAGGGCAGGGATTACCTGCTGGAACTGGACGTGAGTAAAACAGAACAGCGAGAACATAACCCTGGACACTAAAGGAGAGAGCAGAAGCCCTGTGCTTGACTGTGTGTAAGAGGTAACTGGAAGAAAGAGACCTGCCAGAAGGTTAACGTTCTCCCAACATACACGAGGAGAGACTTACAGGCGGCACTGAACTACAGGTCAGTGTCCCTCACCATGCAAGATGACCTGTACAGTATCTACAGAGATGGTGCTTTGTACCGCACCACCAGCACGGGGTTGGGGAAGGTCACCTTGCCTCACAGGGGCACGGGGTTAGGTCGCCTTGCCTCACAGGGGCACGGGGTTAGGTCCCCTTGCCTCACAGGGGCACGGGGTTGGGTCACCTTGCCTCACAGGGGCACGGGGTTAGGTCACCTTGCCTCACAGGAGCACGGGGTTAGGTCACCTTGCCCCACAGGGGCACGGGGTTAGGTCACCTTGCCTCACAGGGGTACGGGGTTAGGTCACCTTGCCTCACAGGGGTACGGGGTTAGGTCACCTTGCCTCACAGGGGCACGGGGTTAGGTCACCTTGCCTCACAGGGGCACGGGGTTAGGTCACCTTGCCTCACAGGGGCACGGGGTTAGGTCACCTTGCCTCACAGGGGTACGGGGTTAGGTCACCTTGCCTCACAGGGGTACGGGGTTAGGTCACCTTGCCTCACAGGAGCACGGGGTTAGGTCACCTTGCCTCACAGGGGCACGGGGTTAGGTCACCTTGCATCACAGGGGTACGGGGTTAGGTCACCTTGCCTCACAGGAGCACGGGGTTAGGTCACCTTGCCTCACAGGAGCACGGGGTTAGGTCACCTTGCCTCACAGGGGTACGGGGTTAGGTCACCTTGCCTCACAGGAGCACGGGGTTAGGTCACCTTGCCTCACAGGAGCACGGGGTTAGGTCACCTTGCCTCACAGGGGCACGGGGTTAGGTCACCTTGCCTCACAGGGGTACGGGGTTAGGTCACCTTGCCTCACAGGAGCACGGGGTTAGGTCACCTTGCCTCACAGTGGCACGGGGTTAGGTCGCCTTGCCTCACAGGAGCACGGGGGTTAGGTCACCTTGCCTCACAGGAGCACGGGGTTAGGTCACCTTGCCTCACAGGGGTACGGGGTTAGGTCACCTTGCCTCACAGGAGCACGGGGTTAGGTCACCTTGCCTCACAGTGGCACGGGGTTAGGTCACCTTGCCTCACAGGGGCACGGGGTTAGGTCACCTTGCCTCACAGGAGCACGGGGTTAGGTCACCTTGCCTCACAGGGGCACGGGGTTAGGGAAGGTCACCTTGGCTCACAGGAGCACGGGGTTGGGGAAGGTCACCTTGCCTCACAGGAGCACGGGGTTGGGGAAGGTCACCTTGCCTCACAGGAGCACGGGGTTAGGAAAGGTCACCTTGCCTCACAGGTTCTATGACTAGACGACACAAATTAGACAATAGAGAGGGGTGGGCAGACTGCAAATTTTTGGATTGCCAGAAAGCCTTTGACACAGTACCCCACAGTGACTAATGCATTAGTTGGAGAAGCAGGCAGCATTGACAGTTTAGGTGCTCCAGTGGATAAAGGAGTACCTAAGCAGCAGAAAACAGCGAGTTACTATGAGGGGTGAGATCAGGGTTGCATGATATGTCACCAGCGGAGTCCTGCAGGGCTCTGTTTTAAGACCAATCCTGTTTGTTTGATATACGTAAATGATCTCCCAGAAGGAATAGACTCATTCCTCTCAATGTTTGCTGACGATGCAAATATTATCGGGAGTAAACTAACGGAGATTCCAAGAGGTACAAGTGTGCCTGTACAACGTGAATTAATGATCCAGGAAATGGCTACTTGAGTTTAACTCAAGTGAGTGTAAAAGAATGAAACTAGGCAGAGGGAGCAGGAAGCCGGACACAAGCTATCAAATCCTTCAGGAATCAAATAGGGAAAGATATCTATAGAGGTCGATATCATACAGAATGTATCTTCTGAAGCCCACACCTAAAGGATATCCTCAGCGGCATATGCGAGGCTCGCCAACATTAGAACCGCCTTCAAAAATTGTGTTAGCATTCTTTCATAACTTTGTATATCACATATTTCAGACTAATCCTGAAGTATGCAGCACCAGCCTGGAGCCCGTATAAAAGGTCAGAGGTGTGCCACCAGACACCTGACAGATAGGAGTTACTAGGAAAGGCTAGAAGAATTAAACCTCATATCTCTGGAAAACAGAAGACTTAGGGAAGATCTGATCACCACATACAAAGTTCTCAGGGGGAATTGATAGGGTAGATGAAGTTAGATTATATTACATGAGTAGAACACGTACAAGGGGACACAGGTGGAAACTGAGTGCCCAACTTTTTCAGTGTGAGAGTAGTTAACAGGTGGAATGGATTAGGCAGTGATGTGGTGTTGGCTGACTCCATACACAGTTTAAAATGTAGATATGATAGAGCCCAGTAGGCTCAGGAACCTGTACACCAGTTGATTGACAGTTGAGAGGCGGGACCAAAGAGCCGAGGCTCAGCCTTAGATAGTACAACTTGGGTCTTTCCAAACTCCGACGGTTCGAATCCCAGTACTGCTGCAAGAGATTTTTTCAATGATCTGTCACGTGAGTGTGATATATCTGTGTCACACTGACGAGTGACAGTGTCACACTGACGAGTGACAGTGTCACACTGACGAGTGACAGTGTCACACTGACGAGTGACACAAACCTCTAATATTCATCAAACTTTAGCCTCTAGTAAATTAAATTAATCGTCACTTTCAGTGCCAATTTCCCACGCCAGTAACGCTAACTTTAGCTAACACAACGACAGTAATCTCCACTTAACATTGTCACTAAGCCTATGGCATCAAATACCATAGAAATTAATCCAGACTTCTCAGTATCATAAACAAGAAACTACACACATAATAGTGGTACACAGAGCGTGCATCAACAATAACACTGCTGCAGGAACACCTCTACACTGTCCCTCAAACATGCAGCGTTTCCTGCCATCAATTCGGTCATTCCTCTTCTGCCTTTCACGGTGGCTTCTTGATTCTTCTCTTCCACCTTCCTGTTCGTATCCAGGATTTGGATACGAGCTTTTTAACCCTTGTTGTTGTTTAAGACTCGCTACCTGGAACAAACGGTTCCAAGTAGCACGGGCTATGGTGAGCCCGTAGTTTAACCCTTATCCCAGCTTCTTACGCTGTAGCCGGCTTGTGAATACCTTTAACTAGTGGTTACCCACAAAATGCTCTTTTGGTCCAGGAAGATCCTGGGGCTATTACCCGAAAACTGTCCAAACTGTACGTAGCGCCACACTAAGCTAAGGGCGGTTCACAGCTCCTCACACTTGTAGCTAATCAGGTGGCTCCGCCTGTCAGGTAATCACACTAAGATATGTTACTAATGAGTTCTCGGGTACACGGTAACTCACATAGACTCACTGGGCTTCATCACTGCCAAGTTGCAGTGAAGGCTACTGCCTGCCCAGCTACTGCCTGGCCAGCTGCTGCCTGGCCAGCTACTGCCTGGCCAGCTGCTGCCTGGCCAGCTACTGCCTGGCCAGCTGCTGCCTGGCCAGCTACTGCCTGGCCAGCTGCTGCCTGGCCAGCTACTGCCTGGCTAGCTACTGCCTGGCCAGCTGGTGCCTGGCCACCTACTGCCTGGCCAGCTACTGCCTGGCCAGCTACTGCCTGGCCGGCTACTGCCTGCCCAGCTACTGCCTGGCCAGCTACTGCCTGGCCAGCTACTGCCTGGCTAGCTACTGCCTGCCCAAATACTGCCTGCCCAGCTACTGCCTGGCCAGCTACTGCCAGGCCAGCTACTGCCTGCCCAGCTACTGCCTGGCTAGCTACTGCCTGGCAAGCTACTGCCTGCCCAGCTACTGCCTGGCCAGCTACTGCCTGGCCAGCTACTGCCTGGCTAGCTACTGCCTGCCCAGCTACTGCCTGCCCAGCTACTGCCTGGCCAGCTACTGCCTGGCCAGCTACTGCCTGCCCAGCTACTGCCTGGCCAGCTACTGCCTGCCCAGCTACTGCCTGGCCAGCTACTGCCAGGCCAGCTACTGCCTGGCCAGCTACTGCCAGGCCAGCTACTGCCTGGCTAGCTACTGCCTGGCCAGCTACTGCCTGGCCAGCTACTGCCAGGCCAGCTACTGCCTGGCCAGCTACTGCCAGGCCAGCTACTGCCAGGCCAGCTACTGCCTGGCCAGCTACTGCCTGCCCAGCTCCTGCCTGCCCAGCTACTGCCTGGCCAGCTACTGTCAGGCCAGCTACTGCCTGGCCAGCTACTGCCTGCCCAGCTACTGCCTGGCCAGCTACTGCCTGGCCAGCTACTGCCAGGCCAGCTACTGCCTGGCCAGCTACTGCCAGGCCAGCTACTGCCTGGACAGCTACTGCCTGGCCAGCTACTGCCTGCCCAGCTACTGCCTGGCTAGCTACTGCCTGGCCAGCTACTGCCAGGCCAGCTACTGCCTGGCCAGCTACTGCCAGGCCAGCTACTGCCTGGCTAGCTACTGCCTGCCCAGCTACTGCCTGGCCAGCTACTGCCTGGCCAGCTACTGCCTGGCCAGCTACTGCCTGGCCAGCTACTGCCTGGCTAGCTACTGCCTGGCCAGCTACTGCCTGGCCAGCTACTGCCTGGCCAGCTACTGCCTGGCTAGCTATTACCTGGCCAGCTACTGCCTGGCCAGCTACTGCTTGGCCAGCTACTGCCTGGCCAGCTATTGCCTGGCCAGCTACTGCCTGGCTAGCTACTGCCTGGCCAGCTACTGCCTGGCCAGCTACTGCCTGGCCAGCTACTGCCTGGCCGGCTACTGCCTGCCCAGCTACTGCCTGGCCAGCTACTGCCTGGCCAGCTACTGCCTGGCTAGCTACTGCCTGCCCAAATACTGCCTGCCCAGCAACTGCCTGGCCAGCTACTGCCAGGCCAGCTACTGCCTGCCCAGCTACTGCCTGGCTAGCTACTGCCTGGCAAGCTACTGCCTGCCCAGCTACTGCCTGGCGAGCTACTGCCTGGCCAGCTACTGCCTGGCTAGCTACTGCCTGCCCAGCTACTGCCTGCCCAGCTACTGCCTGGCCAGCTACTGCCTGGCCAGCTACTGCCTGCCCAGCTACTGCCTGGCCAGCTACTGCCTGCCCAGCTACTGCCTGGCCAGCTACTGCCAGGCCAGCTACTGCCTGGCCAGCTACTGCCAGGCCAGCTACTGCCTGGCTAGCTACTGCCTGGCCAGCTACTGCCAGGCCAGCTACTGCCAGGCCAGCTACTGCCTGGCCAGCTACTGCCTGGCTAGCTACTGCCTGGCCAGCTACTGCCTGGCCAGCTACTGCCAGGCCAGCTACTGCCTGGCCAGCTACTGCCAGGCCAGCTACTGCCAGGCCAGCTACTGCCTGGCCAGCTACTGCCTGCCCAGCTACTGCCTGCCCAGCTACTGCCTGGCCAGCTACTGTCAGGCCAGCTACTGCCTGGCCAGCTACTGCCTGCCCAGCTACTGCCTGGCCAGCTACTGCCTGGCCAGCTACTGCCAGGCCAGCTACTGCCTGGACAGCTACTGCCTGGCCAGCTACTGCCTGCCCAGCTACTGCCTGGCTAGCTACTGCCTGGCCAGCTACTGCCAGGCCAGCTACTGCCTGGCCAGCTACTGCCAGGCCAGCTACTGCCTGGCGAGCTACTGCCTGCCCAGCTACTGCCTGGCCAGCTACTGCCTGGCCAGCTACTGCCTGGCCAGCTACTGCCTGGCCAGCTACTGCCTGGCTAGCTACTGCCTGGCCAGCTACTGCCTGGCCAGCTACTGCCAGGCCAGCTACTGCCTGGCTAGCTATTACCTGGCCAGCTACTGCCTGGCCAGCTACTGCTTGGCCAGCTACTGCCTGGCCAGCTATTGCCTGGCCAGCTACTGCCTGGCTAGCTACTGCCTGGCCAGCTACTGCCTGGCTAGCTACTGCCTGGCCAGCTACTGCCTGGCCAGCTACTGCCTGGCCAGCTACTGCCTGGCTAGCTATTACCTGGCCAGCTACTGCCTGGCCAGCTACTGCTTGGCCAGCTACTGCCTGGCCAGCTACTGCCTGGCCAGCTACTGCCTGGCCAGCTACTGCCTGGCTAGCTACTGCCTGGCCAGCTACTGCCTGGCCAGCTACTGCCAGGCCAGCTACTGCCTGGCTAGCTATTACCTGGCCAGCTACTGCCTGGCCAGCTACTGCCTGCCCAGCTACTGCCTGGCTAGCTACTGCCTGGCCAGCTACTGCCAGGCCAGCTACTGCCTGGCCAGCTACTGCCAGGCCAGCTACTGCCTGGCTAGCTACTGCCTGCCCAGCTACTGCCTGGCCAGCTACTGCCTGGCCAGCTACTGCCTGGCCAGCTACTGCCTGGCCAGCTACTGCCTGGCTAGCTACTGCCTGGCCAGCTACTGCCTGGCCAGCTACTGCCAGGCCAGCTACTGCCTGGCTAGCTATTACCTGGCCAGCTACTGCCTGGCCAGCTACTGCTTGGCCAGCTACTGCCTGGCCAGCTATTGCCTGGCCAGCTACTGCCTGGCTAGCTACTGCCTGGCCAGCTACTGCCTGGCTAGCTACTGCCTGGCCAGCTACTGCCTGGCCAGCTACTGCCTGGCCAGCTACTGCCTGGCTAGCTATTACCTGGCCAGCTACTGCCTGGCCAGCTACTGCTTGGCCAGCTACTGCCTGGCCAGCTACTGCCTGGCCAGCTACTGCCTGGCCAGCTACTGCCTGGCTAGCTACTGCCTGGCCAGCTACTGCCTGGCCAGCTACTGCCAGGCCAGCTACTGCCTGGCTAGCTATTACCTGGCCAGCTACTGCCTGGCCAGCTACTGCCTGGCCAGCTACTGCCTGGCCAGCTACTGCCTGGCCAGCTACTGCCTGGCCAGCTACTGCCAGGCCAGCTACTGCCTGGCTAGCTATTACCTGGCCAGCTACTGCCTGGCTAGCTACTGCCTGGCCAGCTACTGCCTGGCCAGCTATTGCCTGGCTAGCTACTGCCTGGCCAGCTACTGCCTGGCCAGCTACTGCCTGGCCAGCTACTGCCTGGCCAGCTACAATATGTACACATTACTCACCAATATGTACACATTACTCACCAATATGTACACATTACTCACCAATATGCACACATTACTCACCAATATGTACACATTACTCACCAATATGTACACATTACTCACCAATATGTACACATTACTCACCAATATACACACATTACTCACCAATATACACACATTACTCACCAATATGTACACATTACTCACCAATATGTACACATTACTCACCAATATACACACATTACTCACCAATATACACACATTACTCACCAATATACACACACCATACTCACCAATATGTACACATTACTCACCAATATGTACATATTACTCACCAATATACACACACCATACTCACCAATATGTACACATTACTCACCAATATGTACACATTACTCACCAATATATACACATTACTCACCAATATGTACACATTACTCACCAATATGTACACATTACTTACCAATAATTACACATTACTCACCAATATGTACACATTACTCACCAATATGTACACATTACTCACCAATATATACACATTACTCACCAATATGTACACATTACTCACCAATATGTACACATTACTCACCAATATGTACACATTACTCACCAATATGTACACATTACTCACCAATATGTACACATTACTCACCAATATGTACACATTACTCACCAATATGTACACATTACTCACCAATATATACACATTACTCACCAATATGTACACATTACTCACCAATATGTACACATTACTCACCAATATGTACACATTACTCACCAATATGTACACATTACTCACCAATATGTACACATTACTCACCAATATATACACATTACTCACCAATATGTACACATTACTCACCAATATGTACACATTACTCACCAATATGTACACATTACTCACCAATATGTACACATTACTCACCAATATGTACACATTACTCACCAATATGTACACATTACTCACCAATATGTACACATTACTCACCAATATGCACACATTACTCACCAATATGTACATATTACTCACCAATATACACACATTACTCACCAATATGTACACATTACTCACCAATATGTACACATTACTCACCAATATACACACATTACTCACCAATATACACACACATTACTCACCAATATGTACACATTACTCACCAATATGTACATATTACTCACCAATACACACACATTACTCACCAATATGTACACATTACTCACCAATATGTACACATTACTCACCAATATACACACACATTACTCACCAATATGTACACATTACTCACCAATATGTACACATTACTCACCAATATATACACATTACTCACCAATATGTACACATTACTCACCAATATGTACACATTACTCACCAATATATACACATTACTCACCAATATGTACACATTACTCACCAATATGTACACATTACTCACCAATATGTACACATTAATCACCAATATACACACACATTACTCACCAATATGTACACATTACTCACCAATATACACACATTACTCACCAATATACACACACATTACTCACCAATATGTACACATTACTCACCAATATACACACATTACTCACCAATATACACACATTACTCACCAATATGTACATATTACTCACCAATATACACACACCATACTCACCAATATGTACACATTACTCTCCAATATGTACACATTACTCACCAATATGTACACATTACTCACCAATATGTACACATTACTCACCAATATGTACACATTACTCACCAATATGTACACATTACTCACCAATATGTACACATTACTCACCAATATACACACACATTACTCACCAATATTACGCATTACTCACCAATATACACACATTACTCACCAATATACACACACATTACTCACCAATATGTACACATTACTCACCAATATACACACATTACTCACCAATATACACACATTACTCACCAATATGTACATATTACTCACCAATATACACACACCATACTCACCAATATGTACACATTACTCACCAATATGTACACATTACTCACCAATATGTACACATTACTCACCAATATGTACACATTACTCACCAATATGTACACATTACTCACCAATATGTACACATTACTCACCAATATGTACACATTACTCACCAATATGTACACATTACTCACCAATATGTACACATTACTCACCAATATGTACACATTACTCACCAATATGTACACATTACTCACCAATATGTACACATTACTCACCATTATACACACATTACTCACCAATATGTACACATTACTCACCAATATGTACACATTACTCACCATTATACACACATTACTCACCAATATACACACATTACTCACCATTATACACACATTACTCACCAATATACACACACATTACTCACTCATATACAACTACACAACTCATGCAAGGTTTTATATATGTTTATCAAGTTAATAATGGAACGTCGACCCAATATGTTAGTGAGCGGGAATATTAGTGTTGGGGTGAGTCGGTAGCGAGGGTTCCCTGCTGTGGACACTCACTCACGTTCAGCCAATCACATTATCACTCACCGCACGTCCTGCGATTCTATTGGTCATCAGCGGGTCATTCTCCCGGCGCTCCACACTGCCAGATTGTGAGTAACCTCAAGAGTTACCTCATACTGTTAATGAGGACCTCACACACACACACACACACACACACACACACACACACACACACACACACACACACACACACACACACACACACACACACACACACACACACACACACACACACACACACACACACACACACACACACACACACACACACACACACACACACACACACACACACACACACACACACACACACACACACACACACACACACACACACACACACACACACACACACACACACACACACACACACACACACACACACACACACACACACACACACACACACACACACACACACACACACACACACACACACACTCACACACACACACACACACACACACACACACACACACACACACACACACACACACACACACACACACACACACACACACACACACACACACACACACACACACACACACACACTCACACTCACACACACACACACACACACACACACACACACACACACACACACACACACACACACACACACACACACACACACACACACACTCACACTCACACACACACACACACACACACACACACACACACACACACACACACACACACACACACACACACACACACACACACACACACACACACACACACACACTCACACTCACACACACACACACACACACACACACACTCACACATGATGCAAAGTTGATGAGAAGAGTTGTGACAGATGAGGATTGCAGGATCCTCCAAGAGGACTTGAACAGATTGCAGAGATGGTCAGAGAAATGGCTACTAGAATTCAACACGAGCAAATGTAAAGTTATGGAAATGGGACTAGGAGATAGGAGACCAAAGGGACAGTACACAATGAAGGGGAACAGCCTACCTGTAACGACGCGTGAAAGAGACCTGGGGGTGGACGTAACACCTAATCTATCTCCTGAGGCACATATTAATAGGATAACGACAGCAGCGTACTCTACACTGGCAAAAGTTAGAACATCATTCAGAAACCTAAGTAAGGAGGCATTTAGGGCGCTTTACACTGCCTACGTAAGGCCAGTCTTAGAGTATGCCGCCTCATCATGGAGTCCCCATCTGAAGAAGCATATAATGAAACTGGAAAAGGTTCAGAGGTTTGCAACGAGACTCGTCCCAGAGCTACGAGGGATGGGGTATGAAGAGCGCCTGAGGGAACTGTGCCTTACGACACTAGAAAGAAGAAGGGAGAGGGGGGACATGATAGGAACGTATAAGATACTCAGAGGAATTGACAGAGTGGACATAGACGAAATGTTCACACGGAATAGTAACAGAACGAGAGGACATGGATGGAAGCTTGAAACTCAGATGAGTCACAGAGATGTTAGGAAGTTTTCTTTTAGCGTGAGAGTAGTGGGGAAATGGAATGCACTTCAGGAACAGGTTGTGGAAGCAAATACTATTCATAATTTTAAAACCAGGTATGATAGGGAAATGGGACAGGAGTCATTGCTGTAAACAACCGATGCTCGAAAGGCGGGATCCAAGAGTCAATGCTCGATCCTGCAAGCACATATAGGTGAGTACATATAGGTGAGTACACACACTCACACTCACACACACACACACTGTACACCAGTTGATTGACAGTTGAGAGGCAATTTTATGACCGGGACCAAAGAGCCAGAGCTCAACTCCGGCAAGCACAAATAGGTGAATACACTCACACACACACTCACACACACACACACACACACTCACACACACACACACACACACTCACACACACACACACAGGAGGAGGCGGCAAACCAAGCAACCTTGGAGGAATTTGACCTCACCAGTGATGAGGTCAAAAGGTGTCTGCTGGAGCTGGATGTGACAAAGGCTGTTGGGCCTGACAGAATCTCATCATGGATACTAAAGAAAGGTGCAGAAGCACTAAGTTTGCCACTCTCTATGGTGTATAACAGGTCACTGGAAACAGGAGACTTACCAGAAAGTTAGAAGACAGCTAACGTGGTCCCAATATACAAGAAGAATGACAGGCAAGAGGCACTGAACTACAGGCCAGTTTCCTTAACTTGTATACCATGCAAGGTGATGGAGAAGATTGTGAGGAAAAGGCTCGTAGAGCATCTGGAGGGAAATAACTATGTAACGCACCACCAACATGGGTTCAGAGATGGTAAATCGTGCCTCACAGGTTTAATAGAATTTTATGACCAGGCAACAAAAATTACGCAGGAAACAGAAGGGTGGGCCGACTGCATTTTCCTGGACTGACAGAAAGCCTTTGACACAGTACCCCATAAAAGGCTGTTAAAAAGTTGGAGCAACAGGCAGGAGTAAAAGGGAAGGTGCTCCAGTGGATAAGGGAGTACTTAAGCAACAGGAAACAGCGAGTAACTGTGAGAGGGGAGACATCAGAGTGGCGAGATGTCACCAGCGGAGTCCCACAGGGCTCAGTACTTGGACCCATCCTGTTTCTAATATATGTAAACGATCTTCCAGAGGGTATAGACTCATTCCTCTCAGTGTTTGCTGATGCTGCAAAAATTATAAGAAGAATCAAGATGGATGAAGATAGACAGAGACTACAGGATGACCTAGACAAACTGGAGGAATGATCTAGAAAATGGCTGCTAAAGTTCAACTCAGGAAAGTGTAAGGTGATGAAATTAGGCGAAGGGAGCAGGAGGCTGAACACAAGGTATCATCTGGGAGGGGAAATCCTGCAAGAGTCAAATAGAGAGAAAGATTTTGGGGTTGATATCACACCGAACCTGTCCCCAGAGGCCCACATCAAAAGAATATCATCAGCGGCATATGCTAGACTGGCCAACATAAGAACTGCCTTTAGAAACTTGTGTAAGGAATCTTTCAGAACCCTGTATACCACTTATGTAAGACCAATCCTGGAGTATGCAGCTCCAGCCTGGAGTCCATACCTAGTTAAACACAAGACAAAGCTAGAGAAGATTCAGCGGTATGCCACCAGGCTCGTCCCGGAACTGAGAGGAATGAGCTATGAGGAAAGGCTAAAGGAGCTGAACCTCATATCCCTGGAAAACAGAAGAGTAAGGGGAGACATGATAACCACCTACAAAATTCTCAGGGGAAGTGACAGGGTGGACAAAGACAAACTCTTCAGCACGGGTGGGACACGAACAAGGGGACACAGGTGGAAGCTGAGTACCCAGATGAGCCACAGAGACGTTAGAAAGATTTTTTTTAGTGTCAGAGTAGTTAACGGATGGAATGCACTAGGCAGAGATGTGGTGGAGGCTGACTCCATACACAGTTTCAAGTGTAGATATGATAGAGCCCAGTAGGCTCAGGAATCTGTACACCAGTTGATTGACAGTTGAGAGGCGGGACCAAAGAGCCAAAGCTCAACCCCCGCAAGCACAATTAGGTAAGTACAATTAGGTAAGTATACACTCACACACAGGGGCCTGACGGCTGAGTGGACAGCGTTCGGGAATCATAGTTCTTAGGGTCCGGGTTCTATCCCCGGTGGAGGCTAAAACAAGTGGACAGAGTTTCTTTCCCCCTGATGCACCTGTTCACTTAGCAGTAAATAGGTACCTGAGAGTTAGACAGCTGCTACGGGCTGCTTCCTGTGTGTACTCACCTATTTGTGCTTGCTGGGGTTGAGCTTTGGCTCTTTGGTCCCGCCTCTCAACTGTCAATCAACTGGTGTACAGGTTCCTGAGCCTACTGGGCTCTATCATATCTACATTTGAAACTGTGTATGGAGTCAGCCTCCACCACATCACTGCCTAATGCATTCCACCTGTTAACTACTCTGACACTGAAAAAGTTCCTTCTTACGTCCCTGTGGCTCATGTGGGTACTCAGTTTCCATCTGGGTCCCCTTGTTCGCGTACCACCAGTGTTGAATAGTTTATCCTTGTTTACCCGGTCGATTCCCTTGAGGATTTTGTAGGTTGTGATCATGTATCCCCTTGCTCTTCTGTCTTCCAGTGTCGTAAGGTGCATTTCCCGCAGCCTTTCCTCGTAACTCATGCCTCTTAGTTCTGGGACTAGATAAGTGGCATACCTTTGAACTTTTTCCAGCTTGGTCTTGTGATTGACAAGGTACGGGCTCCATGTTGGGGCCGCATACTCCTGGATTGGTCTTATATATGTGGAATACAAGATTCTGAATGATTCCTTGCACAGGTTCCTGAACGCTGTTCTGATGTT